TTTTGCGCGTCGGTGTGCACACTCACATTGGCGCCCTTTGTTTAGTCACGAGGCGTTAAACGTCAGCGATAATCGCGCACGATATTCGTCCTGGTGTGCACAAGCCTTAAGACAGTTCTGGGAGGTAATTTTGATGATAGGCTTTGGCTCAGGTATTTCAGAATGACCAAAACAACATTTCAGATGCTGTTCAATGAGATCAGTCTGCAGGTTTGTCCTGTTATGCCATCCCATCGCACAAAGTCACATGACGTTTTTGATTCGCATTACAGAATTTATTCGGTAAATGTGTTTCCATCATAGTTGATGTACATGTATTCTTATCGGATAAAAAAACGATTACACAAGTTTTTGGAATTTTTCAAATTTAAGCATCTTGGCGTCTCCATCAAGCATTGTTTAATGCAGTATTCCAAAATGTCCATAAAAATCGGTGGATGGAAACACAGCTATTTACTCATCCTCATGTCATTCCAAACCTGCATGGCTTCCTTTCTTCTGTGGAAAAAGAAGATGAGAATTGAAAGATGTCCATATAATAAAAGTCAATGGGGTCCAATTTTGGTGTTGTTTGGACTTTGTCGTTCTTCAAAATGCCTCCTTTTGTGTTCCACAGAAGAAAGAAACGCAGACAGTTTCGGAACGACCTGAGGACGAGTAATGATCATTTCTGTCTGAACTACCCTTTAAGATCAATGCTATTTGTTTCTGAAAATGTTATACTGTAACTCAGTTTGGACCCCGCGAAAGGTCCTCCATTTTTAAGAGTTCCCAAACAAGTAGCCAGGGTTCTGTTTCCACTGCCGCCATTAAATCCATGGGATTGTCTGACATGGTTGACTTTTTAAACCTGTAACATTAAGGCGGATTTACCCACCATCTGACAAGCTGGAAAATTGCTCTGGTTTAGAGTGGGGAATACCGAAGAGCTCTCTAGGTGTGTTGTGCTTTGTCTCAGAGCTGTCTGAGGAATGCTAACTCCTTGTGGCATTGTGAGCTTTTAGTAAACAGAGAGCGTGCAATGCACTAAGGAGTTTTAGTAAAAAATGCAAGAAGATCACTCATTTGGAGTGTTGGAAAGAAGCTTAGCTGAAGTTTCTGCCCACTGGGACTTGATTAGCATAGCTAGCTTTGGTCAAATTAGTGTTTAAGGGTGTGAATCACCAGGTAGAAATGAAGCAGAGGGCTAGAAGGTAATGTATTGAGGCTGTGTAAGTGAAGGAGTGAAGGTTGCGATGGAAACAGACGGGCATATGGTCTGACGGTTTGTCTCGTAGACATCAAATCAAGCTTTTCCTTTGGTTGCTGTCTTCGCTGTTGCTCTTTACTCAGGGGTTCAGCTTGTTATACAGGTTGGAAAATAACTAATACTGTAAACAGCTTCAGCATTTAATGCTTGCAGCTCACAATACCTTTCAGCCTAACCTGTTTATCTTGGCTAAATCACAAGGGCTTTTCCCCAAGAGTAGCGTAAACTTGTTTCTTGTGGTATTAATAGGAATGTAAATCAGACAGTCTAAATGATTATGGTGTATCTAATTTGGTGAAGTTAATTGGAAGTAATCCAGTGTGGTTCTGGGAATATTACACATTCAGCCTGTATCACTGAGTTTAGTGTTCACAAATGCAACTTATCAGACTAAATATATTGTTTTATTTCTAGACAGCTGCCAAATATTATGCATTTGGTATTAATGCACTGTCTATACATCAATGTGATATCCTGTGAAACCATTTTAGCATGAAATCAATGGTAAACCTTTTTTTTGTTTATTTACTTTATTTATTTATTCATTTCTTTATTTTAAATGATTTTATATTGTGACCTTTGAAGTGCTTGGAGCATTTATTTATGTATTGATTGATTGATTTATTTTACATTGTGACCATGAAGCACTTAGAGCATTTATTTGTTTGTTTGCTTGTTTTCTGACCTGCAAACACTTTTTTTTGTTTGAAATAATAATAATAATATAATTAAATGTTATTATTATTATTTAGTTGTTGTTGTTATTTATCGTTATTGTTATTATTTCCTTATTTCCTATATTTTTCTATTATTTACTGTATGAAACCACATTCACAGGCTATTTTGATTGTACTGATTTTTTAAATGGGAAATCATTTTTTACAGATTCATTAATTAATTCATTCATTCCTTTATTCATTCATACAATTATTTTAAATGCAGTCCTGTGAAGAACTAGGAGCATTTTATTTATTTATTTGTTCATTCATTCATTCATTCATTCATTCATTCATGGTAGTCGTTGATTGTACCTTGTACTTGTTACTTCAGCAAGAACCCCTTAACCCAACAACTACCAGTCCTCAGGTTTAACTTTCCTTCCAGCTTCAAATAATAAATAAAAGCACTTCCTGTGTCGGCTCTGATGCACACTTGACAAGCTTGGTCTGTGTCAACAGGACCACTGAGAAATCCGGCTGCACTCAAGAGCCGACGGCTGTTAAGTGAGAGGCAGGAAAAAGTTTGCGCTTCGATTAGTTGGAGATGACATGTTCTGGCCTCTGTGTTTGTCTTGCAGCTGATTATCCAGAAGATCCACATGTGCCAGCAGCTGTGGGCTTGTGACTCATTTGTCAGCATGCTGGAGTACCTTCTGGCCGTGGGCAATTACCTCAACCAGAACGCAGGCAAGGACAGGGCCAAGGGATTTCGCCTCTCGTCCTTAACTAAGGTAGGACCCGCAACCGCCAGCAAATGACCTGTGGAGGATGGCAAGGAGAGCCAGGGCTAATAAAACTTCTTATTGGCATACAGGACAAACATCTGCTGGTTTTATTTCTCTCTTTCTTTTTTCACCAGCTTTCATTTCTCCTCAGGTTGTTTTATCCGGTCAGCTTTGGTAGCAGCATTAGGGGAAACTAATAATACGGAATGAGATTTTTCAAAATAATGTAGGTTTTCTAGTTTTCAGCAAGTAGCAGTGTCTGTTTTTGATCATGTTGTGTCATATGCATAGCTTTGCACACAAACAAACTTTCACATCTTTTGAAATACCATCTTTCACATATGCTACCATTCAAAAACCTGTTTTTTCTTAAAGAAATGAATACATTTATTCAGAAATGATGCATTAAATTGATCAAAAGTGATAGTGAAAACATTCGTAAAGTTTTATTTATTTATTTATAAAATGATTTTATATTCAGACATGCATTTTATTTATTTATAATGTTACAAAAGATTTCTATCTTAAATAAATGCTGTTCTTTTGAACGTTCTATTCATCAAAGAATCCTGAAAAAAGTAAATGACAAAAATAAATGTTTCTTGAGCAGCAAATCAGCATATTAGAAAGATTTCTGACACTGAAGACTGGAGTAATGATGCTGAAAATCCAGCTTTACATCACAGGTATAAATTACATTTTAAAATATATTCAAATAGAAAACTGTTATTTTAAATTGTAATAATATTTCACAATATTGCTGTTTTTATTGTATTTTTGATCAAATAAATGCAGCCTTGGTGAGCATAAGAGACTTATAAAAACATCATAAAGTCTTACAGGTATTACTGTTAAATTGTGACCAATATTGTGACTCCTTTTCTTATAATATTTAATTGATTATTTAGATCATTTTATTTTATTTTTTGTTGATATTGTTTCCTAAGGACAAAATACAATATATTGTAAATGCATTCCAAAATATTCACATATGAATAAATATATAAATCCTTTGAGATTGTAGAGAGACTGACTCAATTACATTATTCACAGTGCTCCATAGGAGTAGGCAATTGCTGCTCAGATTTTTTATTGCATTTCCAGCTGTTTCCATAAGTTGAAAGAAGTATATATTGTTGCTTAACAACTGCAAGGATCATAGTCATTCTGTTTTAAAACATAATTGTTAAAAATTAGTTATGGAGAATAGGATGAATGGAGCACTGTTGTTGAACTCTATCATGGCATACATAATGTATTGTGACATGTATCATATCGTGACGTACTTGCCACTGGGCCCTATGGTTTAGTCACGTTTATACGACTGCATCCACTACACACATCAGACGTGCCACACAGCGATACCTGTGAGTTTCTCTTTGTTGTTGGTTTGTGCAAACTCTTGCCACAGCGGCCCAATTCATTATCCACGCGGCATGGCTTTTTTCAGAGCTCACTGAGTCATTAGTGACACGCCGGTAATTTGTATCGATTTTTGCGGCCAGGGTGCTTGAAACCCAGTTCCTAAGTGGCAAGATTTAAGGGCACTTGCACAATAAGCTGAACGACTTCCTCCTTTGCTAATGAGGAATCTGAGTGCACCACCCCTGTGCTTCCTCCATAGAAACACAACAAAGAAAATAACCACATGCTTATTTTAGAGTGATGAAGTAAACCTCTGATGATTAATGAAACACCCTGTCCTGGCATGTTCGTCATGACATTTTCAAAAATTCCATTTCATCATTTAGTGTATCATATTTTGGTAACACTTTATTTTAAGGACCAATTCCACTGGGCCCTATGGTTTAGTCACGTTTATACGACTGCATCCACTACACACATCAGACGTGCCACACAGCGATACCTGTGAGTTTCTCTTTGTTGTTGGTTTGTGCAAACTCTTGACACAGCGGCCCAATTCATTATCCACGCGGCATGGCTTTTTTCAGAGCTCACTGAGTCATTAGTGACACGCCGGTAATTTGTATCGATTTTTGCGGCCAGGGTGCTTGAAACCCAGTTCCTAAGTGGCAAGATTTAAGGGCACTTGCACAATAAGCTGAACGACTTCCTCCTTTGCTAATGAGGAATCTGAGTGCACCACCCCTGTGCTTCCTCCATAGAAACACAACAAAGAAAATAACCACATGCTTGTTTTAGAGTGATGAAGTAAACCTCTGATGATTAATGAAACACCCTGTCCTGGCATGTTCGTCATGTTTAGTGTATCATATTTTGGTAACACTTTATTTTAAGGACCAATTCTCATTGTTAACTAGCATATTGGCTGTTTATTATTACTTATAAAGTACATATTAATGCCTTATTCTGAAAGACCATATTTTAGATCCCTTAACCCTACCCTATATCTAAACTTAACAACTACCTCACTAATTATTAATAAGCAGCAAATGAGGAGTTTACTGAGGCAAATGTCATAGTTCATAGTTAATAGTGAGAATTAAAATAAAGTGTGACATGTTTTATGTATGAAATTTGAAGAACTTTGCATGTTTAGTCTTAAATATATATTAACATTTAAACTTTTTGTCACTGTTTAAAGCAAATGTCACAACATTTGAGATTAATATGCATTCTAAACAATTTATAACATGGTTTTCTGGAATACTTGATTCAGATTGGTGAATTGTAGTATTTTAGGCTGAAATATGTTTGTATAATGACTGCTAAACTTTATAATTAACTGTTTTGTATATCCCAGTGCTTTTATTCATCACATAAAAAAAAGAAAAGAGAAGATTTTTTTCTTCTGCTCACCAAGGCTGCATTTATTTGATCAAAAATGCAGTAAAAGCGGTAATATTGTAAAATATTTTTACAAATTAAAATAACTATATTCTATGTGAATATATTGTAAAATGTAATTTATTCTTGTGATTAAAGCTGAATTTTCGGCATCATTACTTACTGTCACATGATCCTTCATGAATATGTTGATTTGCTGCTCTGCTGCTCAAAAAACATTTCTGATTATTATCACTGCTTCATATTTTTCTGGAAACTTGATGCATTTTTTCAGGATCTTTTGATCAATGCATCCTTGCTAAATAGAGGTAATTAAAAAAATAATAATCATACTGACCCCAAACTTTTGAATACCAATGTTTCTATTTATGCATGTATGTATTTATTTATTTAATAAGTCGTAATAAGATAAGCCACCAAATATTAAAAAAATCCAGTTTTAGTAAAATTATAAAACACATTCATATATTTAGATTTTTTTGAAAACGCAAATTTAAGTCTTGAGTCGCAAAATATGAGTGATCCTGTGTGAACTAAGGCTTTGCTTTGAAAACAAAATTGTGTATTTGATTCCTCCTGGTCATCTTTTAGTTTTGTGGAATGGGTTGGGATTTGAAATAATAAACAGCACAGAGAATAGCCCTTTTTTCCACCCGTCTGAAGATCAGCATTTAGCCTGTGAGTTTTAAATTAGCGGCAGCTGAAATTGTCGCAGTGGTTTCATATCTGCATGCATTACCATAAAGAATAGATCTAGAGAGCCTGATAGATCTGCGCTCTTGTTCTCTGCAGGCCTCTTCATATGGAGAGCAGTTGAAACAGTCGCTCTTAAACATGCACGCTGGTTTTTGTGGCACAAGTACTCGCTTTACATTTTCTTGCTTTAAAAAGATGCAATTGAGATAGGAGCGTTTGTGTTTAGCACGTATCACTTCATTAATTTTCAGTGCTCTGGTTATTCACGTTACTGCTGGATAAGTGTGAAAGCTTTTTGAATTAGCAGCTATATTTATTCTGTGTGTTCAAGACATGCATTTCTTATCATTTTCACTCTTTAGCCTACTGTAAAAATCTTTAAAAGCACTCACGCGAGGCTGTGGCGCTCCACAAGATTTGCATTGTGGTTAATCAGAGAGCAGAACCTTCGAGATGTCAAGGAGATCCTTCTGGAAAAATGATAACTGGTTTTTCACATGTGCACAATAGAGGTACGCTTCGATACAAGGACATTATCTTCCATTTTTAGTTGATGGTAATATGTGGGTGGGTGGGTGGTGAATTGTCAAACCTCGCTCTTTCTCTGGCCTTGGGCAAGGTATTGGTATTCAAAGATGCGTGCATAAACTCTCACAAACGCACACCCAAGATAAATATTTGTTTACCTCCGGTCAGATGGGATATTTGATTGGGTATATAGGACCAATTGTTCCCAAACCTCCTTCTAATTGTTACCAAGCGCTGCCTACATATGGCGCTTTTCCACTGCGTGGTACGACTCGGCTCAGCACGGCTCAGTACGGCACGGCACGGTTCGGCTCGGCACGGATTGCGTTTCCACTGCATAAAAAAAGTACCAGGTACCAGGTACTGTACCCAGTGGAAAACCCCCCAAAATGGACCCGTCCGGAGCCGTACCGTGCTGTACCATGCAGTGGAAAAGCGCCAATAGACAGCTGCCTTCTAAGGAAGCGTTCTGACTGTTGTTGAACCTATAAGTGATCAAATTGGAACATTCAACATTGTTAACTTGCATGTCACACAAATAGCATTTTGCACTTGACAGACAATTGATTCTATTAGAATTTGTTGTTAGTATGTCGGAGTCTTATTTTAATATAATTGAGATACCATTATATGTTTTAGTAATATATTCATTTTTATTTTTATATTTTCAATTTTCATTTTAATTTTAGTTAAAATTTTAGTCATTTTGTTGTGTTTTAGTCATTTTTTGTTTTTTATATGTTTGTATAGTTTTTATACATTTTATTTCAGTTTTAGTTATTCTCATCAAGTTAAACTAAATAAAAATGGAAAATGTTGCCTGGTCAACTAGCTGAAATTTATATATATATGATATATATATAAATATGAAACCGGGTCCCAGAGTGGATAAATCTGAAAACGACGCCCTTGCGTTTTCGTATGCACAGCGAATCCGTATATTTTCTGAAACAATGATGTCATCACCCCACCTCTCGACCCTAGTCAGACACCGCTACATCACGTAACAACAACAACATGAACAAACACAGAACGATTTTTTTTTTTATGAACTAACGTTAACACAGATTAATAAATGTATTGTTCCATGTTCATTTGTATACCGCGCGCAAGGTTTATGCGCATAGTCCAGGCCGTCTTCTCCGTTTTTAGTGTATCTCTGTGGCAGAATTACAGCACCACATACTGGTCTGGCATGTATACTACATCGTTTTGTGTCGGTTTCGTGGTTTCGTGTGGACGTAGCCTAAGGGAGAACTGAGGAGTTATAAGCATGAACCAAACAAAGGGAACAAATGAGATGATTAACAGACAACAGGTGAACTGAATGACATAATCAGGCAACTCAGGAAAACTAGGTCACAACAGATAAAATGGAAAACAAGTCATACATGTAACAGTTCGCCCCCTCCTGGGAAGGCACCTCTCTGCACCGTAACAAAGTCCAACTGAGGAGGGAGGGTGGGGGCTCTGGAGGAGGGCGTGGAGCAGGAGAAAGGCAGAAACAAAAATAGTCCAAAAGAGTCCAAGGGGGAGTGGAGGGTGGGCGGAGCCAAGGGGAAGCCAGGAGCACGAGGAGCCAGATGTTGGTCCAGAGACCAGCCAGGATGAAGCCCCAGGGCGGGGTCGAAGGAGGGAGGAGCCATGGTGGAGAAGGCCTTGACAACACCCTGGGGATGAACAATGGAGATGGAGCCACTGGAGGTGGAGACCCAGATGGAGCCGAGCAGACGGAGAGCCAGGGCGACACCAAGGATCCGAAGGGCCAAGGCGGAGCTGAAGGTTCAGGTGACCGAGGCGGAGGCGGGGATCCAGAAGGCCGCGAGTCAAGCAACCGCAGAGCCAGGGTGACACCGAGGATCCAAATGGCGAAGGCGGAGCTGAAGGCTCAGGCGACCAAGGCGGAGGCGGGGCTCCGGAAGGCCGCGGCGGAGCCAGAGCGACAGAGGACGAAGGTGGAGCCGGAGGGAAGGAGGAGCCTGACAGAGCCGGAGGAGTGGAGTCCCGAGGCGGCGGATGGTCGACGACTGACCAAGGCGGAGCCGGAGGGACGAGAGCCCGGTGGAGCCAGTGGGATGACGGGCCATGGTGGAGACAAGGGAGCTAGGAGCCAAGGCGGAGCCAGTGGGTCGAAGGACCGGGGTGGAGGTAGAGGTCTTCACGGGTCCACTTGGATCCAAAAACCCGAGCGGGTTCGGGTCCAAAATTTCTACGAGTGCCTCGGACACGGGTCGGTTTCGGTATTAGCAGCCTCGGGTCTCGGGTAATTTAAAATAAATGTGCTTTTTTTTCCAAATAGACCCGATAAGACCCGAATTCTTTTAAACTATCCTGAATGTGTACTTGCATGTTCGCGTTAAATGAGGAATGCACATAGAAAAGGAGCATACGTTTGTAACCTCGCCAACAGAAATCCATCTTATAGATATGAGATCCATCAGGAAAATTCACTCGCTTCATTACGCTGCGTATTCATACAGGGCTTTTCTTTTTTTGTGTGCAGAAGCCTTTCGCTGGAGATTAGGTTGCAGACAACAGTAGCGAAGCCATGAATTATGCTATGATCATGAGTTATGCTTTAGATTAGCTATGAAAAGCTATCGATTTAATTTTGATCAAACTATCACGTTTATTTTTCAAATCCACTGGTCACAACTGAAAGCCGAACTCAGAAATAACTTGTATCCATCAGGCAGGCAATAATATAAAGTAATAACCAAATTAAATACATGTTAAATAAATTAAAGTAATGGAGAAGCGGCCAAATCAGTCAGCAGGACGCCGGGATTTTCCTGACTGGCTGCATGGCTGCAGGCTGTGCACACGTCAATGCCATTTACATTCGGGTCCAGTCGGGTTCGAAAATAAATGCAGTCGGGTCGGACTTGGGTCTAATTTCATCGGGTCTGTCTCTGGTCAGGTTTTTCTTTTTGAAAAAATAATTTATGCACGTCGGGTTCGGGCAAGGAGTGATTTGGGTCGGGTACAGATTTTAGGACCCGAGAAGACCTCTAGGTGGAGGCCAGGACTCGGAGAACACAGGAGATTCAGGGCTGGACGGAACCAGCGGAGACACAGGAGACATAGGAGACTTAATAGACAAACCAGTCTATTAAGTCCTCTTGAAAAACATCCATTAGTTCCTCAATATTGGGGCTGGAGATGTCTTCCTTGGCGGGGCAGATGGAGAAATACAGTCCATTATTCTCCAGCACCCACTCCACAAATGCGGCGAAATTTTCCCTAGGACCGTCCGCTGGAACACGTGCCTTCGGCCACAGCAGGAATGTCCATGGTGACAGAAGAGTGGGGAAAAAGGGAACAAAACGCCGCAAAAAACAAACAAACTGTAGTTGGTCCGTTCTTCTCTCACGCTTCTGTGTGGAATGAATTCGCACGAAGATGAAACGAAAAGTCTTTTAATCAGATAAATCCAGAAGAACAGGCACAGAAACCAACTTAACATAGACGGAGAACGGACGAAGACTAAGGGAGAACTGAGGAGTTATAAGCATGAACCAAACAAAGGGAACTAATGAGATGATTAAGAGACAACAGGTGAACTGAATGACATAATCAGGCAACTCATGAAAACTAGGTCACAATGGAGAGAACAGAAAACAAGGCATACATATAACATATATATAAATATTATGTAGCAAAAGTAGCAACATTTTTTTGTTGTTTTTAGGATTAGTTTCCGTTTAGTTTCACCTATAAAATAATATTTTTTTATCACACCAAATTATTTTTATTATGAATTTATAAGACATTGGTTAATGGTTGGATCGTGTTAATGTGATTAGCCTTTACAGAAAGCACCAAAAGCACCATAAAAGTATCATGAAAACATAAAAAAGAAAATGTTTGTGTGATATATTCTACATCTTTTAAAGTTAGGTCATTAGTCTTCTTCTCATCAAGAGCTGTTAATGACTGTGACCAGATCGTTGATTCAGTGAGTTGAACTCAAGAATCAATCAGATTGACAACTGAATCAAAATATTCAAAAGAATGACTCAAATTGGACAAAGCTCTCAGTGAATAATGATTCAAAAGTCAATCTTTTTGATAGAAATCGTGGTTAATGATGGCATGTCTTCTGATTAATGTGGTTTATTTTAGTAGCTATTTCTGCGCAACATTTTGAATCATGTCCTAGTCAATAACAATACATAAGAACTTACTTCCTATCCAAAAAAAAAAAAGCAAAGGCATCATAAAAACATAAGCATATGTTATTTATGTAATATATTCAAAGTATTTAAAATTTAAGTCATCAGTTCTTCATCAGCAAGCTTTTAATGACTGAATGGATCATTGATTCAGTGAGTTGAACTCAAGAATCAATCTGAATGACTCTGTGAACTGGATCCAAAGATTTAAAAGAATGACTCAGCTTGGACACAGCTATTTCTCTCAGTGAATAATGATTCAAATGTCAATTTTTTTGATCGAAAGCATGGGTAATAATGCCATGTCTTCTGGTTATTGTGATGTAAGTAGTTTCTTCTGTGAAACATTTTGAATTATGTATAGTCAGTACCAATGAATATGGACTGAAATCTATTGTTTGTCTAAATCTATTGTGTGATATATTCTAAGTCATTGCCATTTAAGTTGTTAGTCCTTGAAAATCTTCTCCTCAAGCGAGCTCTTAATGACTGTGACCAGATCAGTGATTCAGTGAGTTGAACTCAAGAATCAATCAGACTGGATCAAAAGAGCCGATTCAAAGGAATGATTCAAATTGGACAAAGCTACTTCTCTCAGTGAATAATGATTCAAATGTCAGTCTTGTCCTCACACAAAGCTATCATATGACTTCAGAAGAACAGCAGCACGCTAGTCACATGACACATTATGATGCTTTTATGCTGCTTTTTACTCAGTTTGGAGCTTGACAGCCCCTGTCCTTACTCATTTTCATTATACTGAAAAGGCCGGCCATGTTGTTCTTTAAAAAATACTATATGCTGCATTATTCTTGAACAACTCCATAGAGAAAGGAAGTTAATCTAGATCATATAAAGCACAGACCCTTGAGAGCTGCTTCTTTGATACACCTTTTCACTGTATAAAAGCTTTTTGGATGTGGTCTGGTTGAAAAGAAATACCGGTGATCAAAAGCCATTGAGGCTGATAGCGCTAAGAATTCCAGTGCTACCTCTCCAGAAATGGAAAGGAGAAAGTGCAGCCGTAACACCTGCTCTTCCTTTATCTCCGGCTCTAGGCGGCCATCGAGAAGCATGAGGCCGATCTCAGACAGCTGATGAAGAGGTGTGAGGAGATGAGGAAGCTCTACACTGACATATTGGTAATCCCTGAGTTATTATTTCAATATCTTCTGTTGTGTTGCTTTGGGAGACGGATGGGCTGGGATCTCTGACTATCTAGAGATTGGCCTTTCTCTGCTTATCTGTGCCAGGTGGACTGAGGTGGAAGAGGGGGATATATATTACAGCCCACCCATTCATCAAGGTTACAGTTTTTTTTGGTTCTCACTGTGAGGGACATGATGCTGGATTGAGATTGATTTATGATATCAGTTCTCTATGATCTGGGATCTCTGACTATCTAGAGATTGGCCTTTCTCTGCTTATCTGTGCCAGGTGGACTGAGGTGGAAGAGGGGGATATATATTACAGCCCACCCATTCATCAAGGTTACAGTTTTTTTTGGTTCTCACTGTGAGGGACATGATGCTGGATTGAGATATATTTATGATATGTTTTCTCTATGATATATATATATATATATATATATATATATATATATGCATACTGAAAACCAGCGTTAGTAGACAGCTATTTATTTTATTTGTTATTTTTTAATATGACTGAATTATAAGGTTGAGGGGGAAAAATGAAAATACACAAAATAAATATATAAAAAGTAAAATAATTATCAGCAATAAAAAGCTTTTAAATACAAAATATTTTTTGTTTTCAGTTTATTAAATGTTTATATTTATATATTTATTATACAAAAAAATAATGCACAACATATAGAAACAATATCTAGAAAAATTCTATGCAGTTCTATGAAGAAATGTTGCTTTGCTAATTTTGTTGTTTTATGGCCTTGTGGGTAAATTTAATCCAAGTTAACTAGTACATTTGACACCTCAGACAGAAATTGATCATGTTTTTCATGTTACATTACATTATGATATATACACTAAGTTTGTGGTCAGGATTTATTATATTTTTAAAATACATTTTTATATTTCCTTATTCAGCGAGGATGCATTAAATTGATCAAAAGTGACAAAATACATGTATAATATTTAATAATTTCTATTTCAAATAATTATTGTTATTTTATTGTATTATTTTGTTATTCAAATAATATAAGTTATTTTAAACTTTATATTCATCAAAGAAAAAGAAAAAAAAAGAAAAATATCATGGTTTTCACACAAATATGAAGCAGCACAACTGTTTTCAAAATTTATAATAATTATAAATGTTTCTTGAGCAGCAAATCAGCATATTCGAATGATTTCTGAAGAATCATGTGACACTGAAGACTGGAGTAATGGTTCTGAAAATTCAGCTTTCACAGAAATAAATGACACAGAAATAAATGACATTTTACAATATATTTAAATAGAAACCAGTTATTTTAAATTGTAAAAATATTTCACAATATTACTGTAATTACGGTGTTTTTTTTTAGATCAAATAAATGCAGCCTTGATGAGCTTAAGACCTCAAACTTCTGAACAGCAGTGTATGTGTATTTTTTTCTGAGAGAATACAAAACAGTGTAACTGCTTTTTGCTATAAAAGTCCAGCTGGACAGAATCAGGAGACAAAAATACACCGCTTTCTTAATAATAAAGAACAAATTCTTAGGGAAAACCCTTTTCCTCGGTTTGTAACGTGCAGTGTATTTCCCAGCTGTCCCAATTTTGGCCTAATGGTTAGAGAGTCGGACTCATAACCCAAAGGTCGCGGGTTTGAGTCTCGGTAAATATCCATAAAGTCTTTCCATAAAGACTGCGAGCGGTTCATTGTGAACATTCAGCCTATTGTGAGCTTGACATGATGAGGAGCGAGTCTCCTGCCAGGGATGGGAATCACTTGAGTTGCAAAATTACAGCCCAAACTTTCAGCCTTGGGCAAAAATACAGCAAACAGCAACTTGGGGCTGTTGAGCCAGAAATAATGGGGAGAATAGAGCCAGGATGAAGAGAGAAACTGAGAGTGATTGGAAATAAAACAGGTTTTGGCCAGTATACAGTCTATTTCTCTTAGTTTATCAGCATTAAGGTTATAAAACTGGCATTTCTGGAGTCTGCAGGTGTGGAGGTGATTTGTCTGTGGATCACAGCGTTAGTTGTTGTAAAATTTCAATTCTGCCATCATTTACTCACCTTCATGCTGTTCCAAACTATGTTTAGAAACACGATGATTTGACCAATATTTGCAAAGTAACTACAAATGTAGCATTTTATAAATACAGGATTTTATTAATACTTCATTTACTTTTGTTTTGTTTTAGAATGTTTGTTTGCTGTTGTATTTTTTTTTCTGGTGGAAAGATATGTTCATTTTTGGATACCGATTGCAGTTAGTAGACAGCAAATGAGTTTTATAAACTATACACACACACACACACACACATATATATATATACAGTGGGTACGGAAAGTATTCAGACCCCCTTAAATTTTTCACTCTTTGTTATATTGCAGCCATTTGCTAAAATCATTTAAGTTAATTTTTTTTCCTCATTAATGTACACACAGCACCCCATATTGACAGAAAAACACAGAATTGTTGACATTTTTGCAGATTTATTAAAAAAGAAAAACTGAAATATCACATGGTCCTAAGTATTCAGACCCTTTGCTCAGTATTTAGTAGAAGTGCAAATTTAGAACCCCCTCCAAATCCCACCCCTGGTAAACTTAAAAAAATAAAATTAGGGCTGTCAAACGATTAATCACGATTAATCACATCCAAAATAAAAGGTTTTGTTTACATAATATATGTATGTGTACTGTGTTTATTTATTATGTATATATAAATACAAACACATTCAGTATATATTTTAAAAATATTTACATGTATTTACATGTTTATATTTATATTCATATCATTTATATTATATATAAATATATTTAATATATAAACATAACATATTTTTCTTAAATATATACATGCATGTGTGTGTATTTATATATACATAATAAATAAACACAGTACACACACATATATTATGTAAACAATAACTTTTATTTTGAATGCGATTAATCACGATTAATCGTTTGACAGCACTAATATTTACACAATATATAGAAAAATATTTATATTTATATTTTGACTTTCAATTAAACATGAACAATTACAAGATTAAATAGTTTTCATTGTACTGTGTGAATAAACAATATCACTGTTCATTTGGTTTCTTTTTCTTCCACAGATAAAATTCGGAGAGCCTTTGGATCAAGACTCCCAAGAAGTTTTCGGATGGATTTGCCAATTTATCAGTGACTTCAAGAAGGTGTACTCTGAATACGCTCAGTGAAGCTGAATTTCCATTCACATCTGGAACAGTAGGTGTTCGTTTGTCTGAATTTGCACCTGCTAACTCAAGCATGTCCTAAAATTTCATTTGGGAAGGCGACTGGACCGTCTGTAGAAACAGTCTTATCTGCAGACTGCGACTGATGTTTTCTGGATCTTCCCCAGTGCTGGTGTTTGGTTTGATTAAGTCTTGGCGATCCGGATCCTGTGCTTCTTTGACCCGGTGCTACAGCAAACAGCTCGTTTCTCAGACATTTTCTGGAGGCGCATATCATTTTGCTTCTCCTAGAGTGTAGCTATAATGGATGTCGGTGGTAAACTCACAGATGGCTGGTGTGAAAGAGGCATTCTGGTTCAGACAGCCAGTTGAACGGCTTCCACATGCGTCTGCTGAATCGCACGCTCTCTCTGTGGCCTTGAGCGCGTGTGTGTTTTCTGGAAGATACAGAGTCGAGTCCTCCGTGGCGGTTCAGCAGAGGACATTTGCATTTCACACGATTCAGAACAGACTCCTCGTTTTCCTTTTGAGGATTTCATTCAGTAAATGAAGAGGACGAATAAAAGAGGAAGAAACAAATCCCTTCCCTTTGCATAACACTAGGATTTACATGCTCGCTCGCTTGTAATCCCTTTGTAATGAACATCCGTTGCATTTTGTCCACCGTTGCAGGGGTGGCTCACCCAAAAATGAAAAGTCTGTCATCATTTACCTTCATGTCATGGTTTTCTTTCTTCTGTGGAACACAAAAAGGGATGTTTAGCAGTACGTTTAGGCTGTTATTAAGCACTATTTTTTTATTATTATCTCATTACCATCTATCCATCCATCCTGCAAACTGCTTATCCTCTATAGGGTCACAGTGGACAAATTGTTTATTTAAATTTATTTTATTTTATAATTTTTTATTTTTTTATTTTTATTTTATATTATTTTTTATTTTATTTTTTCCATGCTCCAAACCACTTATCCAGAACACACTATGGACATTTTATTTTATTTTCCAGTGGACATCGTGGAGAGATGGTTCATTTTAATTTATTTTATTTTATGGTTAATTTTATTTTTTTATTTTAATTGGTTTTTATTTTTTTTTTTTTTTTTTTTTTTTTTTTTTTTATACTTTAGTTTATATTTGAAGATTTGTAAGATAAGATTTTTGTGGAACAAAACCTGTAAACCAATAACCTGCTCCTTTAAATCATATAAACCAGCACAGTAGCAATATAGCTGTGTAAATATGACCTTGTGACCTGTTTGTTGTGGGCTACAGAAATACAGATTCATTGTACAATATAACAAGCCAATAGAGTTTTGCACCCTGCAGTAGGGCACATAAAGTATTCTGTGTGCCATCTCATGACCTGCAGGAGTTTGTCAGCTCAAATTCTCTGCTTAGTCAGACATTAAATGCTTTCCTTCTGCATTGTGGCAAAAATTGAGATTTATTTCTTTTTTTTTTGTAAAAATGGAGCAATGTGCCCTTGACTGCACAGGCAATGATTATTTCATTCATTAAAGAAATGTGTTCACACTAGAACACTGAAAGATTTTAATCAAACAAGCTTAATTGGTCTTCCAAAGCAGTGATTTGCATTAATAGTCATTTAAATTTGCACTTTTATCAAATAAATCAAAACTGAGTCTTCTGGTATCTCTAAAAGCATGTCGTGCTGTCACTATCTTGCTTTAGTGTCTTTTTTGAACATTTCGTACTCAAAGCCTGTGAACATGTTTGGTTTTATATTAGAAAAAGCCAGGGGATTACGACTTCACCTGCAGCACACAGGGCTTTTACTCTGACGTTATTTTCAATCTTACATCTGTTTATCCTCTTAGGTTCTCAGCTTTGTTACCGTATATATTTTTCTGGCTTGTGAAAGAGTACGCAGCCAGACCGGTGTGTGCTTTCCGTCTCCCTCAGCTGGTGTCGAGCTGAATGCTTTCCTCTGTACAGCTGGAGTGAGCAAGTGTTTGCTGGAGTGATCTGTTAAATCAAGGTCTGCTGGTCATTATTTCCACACGATTCAGCGTGTAAAGACACGAGTCTGTGGCATCTCTGCTGCAATGATGGAGGTGTTGAATCACTCTTTCAGATAATGAGACCGTGTTTTTATGTGTTGATGTTGTAGGTGGGAGAATTTATGAAGCTGTGGGATTTAAAATGATGTTTGCAAATGCAGGTTTCACTGTTTTTATTGCTCATATGTGAACAAACACCTAACCTTACATATTAAACACTGGCATTTAACTTATCCCACACAGTTTGGATATAAATATTAATGTGTGCCACAGTAGTATTTTTACATAAAATGCATGCAAATTCTATAAATAATAATAAAAAATTAATAGTAATGAAAAAAAATTAATATAAATAATTTACATAAAAATATAAATACATTTATCATTTTCATAAATTATTAACTGAAGGAATGTGAATGTAGGATTTTAATGTTTTTTGAATGGTTAGTTATTTTTTTAGAATATACACATTATAGTTAAAAAGTTTGGGGTCTCTGGCTATTTTAATTTTAATTTACTTTTTATCTATTTTATTGTTTTGATCCATTCTCCAAACTACTTATCCAACCACTTTTATTTTATTTTATTTTATATATTAATTTCAAATTAATGCTGTTTTTAAACATCCTATTTAACAGAGAAACCTGAAAAATAAAATAATGTATTACAGTTTCCACAAAAATATTGAGCAGCAGAACTGTAAACATCAATAATAAGAAGAAATGTATCTTGAACATTAAATCAGCATATTAGAATGATTTCTGAAGGATCATGTGACACTGAAGACTGGAGTAATGATACTGAAAATTCAGCTTTGATCACAGGAATAGATTAGATTTTAGAATATATTCAAATAGAAAACAGTTATTTTAAATTGTAATAATTTTTCACAATTTTACTGACTTTATTGTATTTTTCACATAAATGCACCCTTTATGAGCAGAACAGACGCAGTCTTGAAGACCCCAAACTTTTGAACAGTGTGTGTGTGTGTGTGTGTATATATATATATATATATATATATAATTTTGAAGGTATTTTAATGGAGAATGTGAAAAGAAATAGAACTAATTTTAGAAAATTTGTTCATTCCGACTCATTTTGCCAGCACGGGTCATATATATAATTTTTCCTTTGTGAAAATACATTTTTGAATGACTTTGTTTCATTTCAAAATGTCTAATGCAATAACTTAACTTCTCAGATTTGTTTTGGCTTCTCTTCATCAGTGCATGAAACAAAAACTGTAAATGCAGCAGCGCATGCACTGCCCTCTTGACCATCGCTGCACAGAAGCGTTTAGACTGTTGAAGAAAAATCACTCCAGCCAAAGTGCTCGGCCGTGACCCCATCGTATGGACTTCAGATTACACTATTTCTCTTGGCCTCCTTTGTGGAGCGCCTGCCAGGGGTGAAAGCAGCAAGCTGCCAATCTCTTGTCAGCCGGCACAGCCAGGCAAGATTGGGACCAAAAAGTCTCTTTTCCCCTCAGATGTATTTGGGTCACCTCATCAGAGGTGGGTTAGCAGGTGGCCACAGCTCACACAATACAACAGTGTGCAGGGAACAATGAGTGTAATGATTATTAGTAGCTGTCACAGAGCTGGTGCTGCCTCAGATCTATAATGATTCCACCTCCCAGACATTTTTTTTGGGAAGACCACAGGTGGGTGTTTAAATCTTTCAGCTTTTTTCTTTTTCTAAAAAATTTCACTTAAAAATTAATATTCTAAAAAAATAAAAAAAATAGTGACATTTAGGTAGTTATTGACATATGGACTACTTTTATGGTTCTTTTAAATCATTTTAATTTCTGTATTTTTTTTTTCATAATTCTCATTTTTAGAGCTATTGGAAAAACCTGCATAAAGATTCCTTGAAGAATTCTCCTTTTGAGTCTCGCAGAAAACTATTCAGGTTTGGAACAACGTGAAGGTGAGTAAATAATGACAGAATTGTCATTTTCTGGTGATCTATTGCTTTAGCCCTCGTGTGTCGATTTAAAAAGGTTACTCTGAGATGCTTAGAGAACAAAAATGTTCATGTCAAAAGACTTTCATAAAAATTTGAAGCTTAGGAGTACAGAGTTTGGTCTCATTTTAAAGATGACCCTTGGCAGATTATTGTTGAGGTAAAAAAAAAAAAGTTATAGACGATTTAGTTTATGAAAATGATTTATGTGTGAATTTTTTAATATTTTTATATAAAAATACATATTTTATAAAACATGTTGAACTCAAAAATAGCTGGAAAATCAAAGCTGTAAATCTGAACAAATTTGAGCTTGATATCTCAAAAAATGAGCTTTTAGTAAGATTTTGTTTTGCTCCAGTACCAAAAAAGTGAGTATTTGATTTATAGGCTAAACCTGACAAAATGGAACTATCTAAAAAAAAAAAAAAAAGGTAAACATTTAAATTTTGAAGCCTTGCCGTCAGAAGGAAAGCCTATTATGAAAGACTATAATTTCATAGATAAATGGCCCTGGGATTAAAAATTGTAGTTTTAATTAAAAAAAAATGTAGTTTGTGTAAAGGGAAAAATAGATTTGTTAAAGGAAATGAGGGTGAAATATTAAAATTCTAATAAAAATACACTATATACAGTGGGTACGGAAAGTATTCAGACCCCCTTAAATTTTTCACTCTTTGTTATATTGCAGCCATTTGCTACTGCATCTCTGGAGCTCAGCCACAGTGATCTTTGGGTTCTTCTTTACCTCTCTCACCAAGGCTCTTCTCCCCCGATAGCTCAGTTTGGCCGGACGGCCAGCTCTAGGAAGGGTTCTGGTCTTCCCAAACGTCTTCCATTTAAGGATTATGGAGGCCACTGTGCTCTTAGGAACCTTAAGTGCAGCAGAAATTTTTTTGTAACCTTGGCCAGATCTGTGCCTTGCCACAATTCTGTCTCTGAGCTCTTCAGGCAGTTCCTTTGACCTCATGATTCTCATTTGCTCTGACATGCACTGTGAGCTGTAAGGT